AACAATGAGGTCTGAAGCAAGAGAAAATCCAAGACAAGCTGTGAAGGACAGGAACAGAAATGGCTGAGTAAAAACCAGAGTCCAGTCCTCAGTCCTTCCCAGACCCTCCTTGCATGGCCACCATTGCCTCACTGACTGTTCTCTAGTTTAGCCCCCACGTCTGTCCTTGAGTGACCCTCACGGTACTGAGCTCTGCAGGGCCAGGAGTGAGTCACCCCACAGCCAGCTCTGCACATTCAAACCATCCTGCTTCCTGTCTACGCACCTGCAGGCAGGATAAGAAATGATACAGACTTTCAAAACTCTGCTTCTGAATAGCACAAGTAAGCTCTGAATGACAAATTTTTCTGCCTTCTGAATTTAAGACACTTAACAAACTTAGAAACCTTTAATCCCAGCACTCGGGAGACAGAGGCAGGCAGATCTCTGTGAGTCTGGTCTATATCACAAGTTCTAGGCCAGCTGGGGCTACAGGGAGACCCTGTCCCAAAAAGACCAAAGACACAAACAAAAACAAAACCTCAGAAGTGGAGAGATCAATGAAAGACATGTAAAATTTAGTAGGAATCATCTTTAGGAACTTCTCTGACAAGATACAAATGCTTATGTGTGGTGGTGCACGCCTTTTTTAGTCCCAGCACTCGGGAGGCAGAGGCAGGCAGATCTCTATGAGAATCCAAGGAGAGAGCAGGTGCCTAGCTATGGGGAAAGCCAGGTGGGCTCCATGGATATTAGGAGGCGGGAGGACCCGGGAATTGCCATGGAGGAGAGGCTGGGAGTATGAGGCATGGAGGATGATACACAGGTTAAGGTCTGGTAGTGAGTGGGAAGATGAAAATGAATACCTGGCCTGGGAAAGTGAATGGAGATTGCCCAGACCATTACTGAGACCGTTCCAGTGAGGAGGCCCTCCAGGCAACTGGATGCACAACACAGGGAGGAACCTGAGCTAGGGTACACAGCACAGGGCTAATGGACTTGGATAGTGTCACTCAAGAGAGTGAAGTGAGAATATCTGGGAGGAGATAGTCTAACTCCTGAATGCTTGCTTTCCTTAATCCTGTGAACATGTCTTTTGGAAGTTTCACACAGCAACAGGCCTCCTGTCTCCTTAGTGCATTGTCCAAGTCTCGGCCTTGACCTACTCTAAAGTCAATGTGATCTTCTCACCAAAGGTGTCTTGTGCTAGCTACATTTGTCCATTGGGAGGACAGTGTCCACATGAGTCCATGTGGCTTTGAGTTTAGGTCATAAGTAGCAAGGTAGATGTGGGATTCTTATAACCGAACAATGTTGAAGCAAAAAAAACAAAAAGTCTTTAGGGCCCCAAAGAGATGCTTAAGCAGCGATGTAGTGATGTAGGGATCCCCAACATGAGTCAGCTGGAGTGGGCTCTGAGAACTCTGCCCCATTAGGAATTCCCGGTGTGTTTCCCACATCCCTTAAAACTACCTACGATGCTCTGCCAGGGTCATAGAACACAAAGCAAGGATGACCAGCATGAAGACCTCCGTGTGTGCAGCACTGGGATCACACCCCAGTCTGAAAGGAGCCAGAGGCCCTCATGAGAGATTAAAAATGTTGTCTAGCTATTTAGACAGGCAGGCACACAACACTTTCTAGTTTGCTACAATGCTTCAAACCCTAACCCTGCTGTCGCACTTCAGCCTTTGATGAGGCAACTTTAGCTGGCTCTGTGTGTGTGTGTGTGTGTGTGTGTGTGTGTGTGTGTGTGAATATAAAATCCATCTCTTCTCCCCCAGACCTTGCTGCCTATCTATTTGAACAGGACGTTTTCTTCTGTGGCACCTCAGTCTATTTCTGTCTTTCCACGAACTAGACTGGAAACTACCCCTAGCATATTTGCCTTCAAATGTAGATGTGGCTCCGAACAACCAAAGCTTTGCTGTCCCCTTAAAACTTGCTACACACAGAGGAAAGAAATCCCATTTGTATTCCCCTTCTTGTGGCTCTAAGAACCTCAGGGGTTTGGGTTCAGGAGTAGCGGGCTACCAACCCCTGTGCCTTACCAACATTCTTATCTCAGAAAATACAAGAAAGCCTCAGGGAAATTCCAAAGCATAATAAAGCCCTGAGATCAAACAAACAGACTCTTTAGCAGCAGTCACACTCCAAAACAGGAAAAGCCTAGAACTCCTGACAGCAGAAGAAGGGGAAGGTGGCCTTGGTCTGGAAGAGGAGTGCTGCTTTTGTGTAAATCAGTCCAGCCTGTTAAAGATGCAGCAAAGAAACTGGCTGACCCTGCCTCAAGAATCAGACAACAGACGCAGGAGTCATGGGACAGGAGGTTTCAGAACTCCTCATGCATCTCATGGCTCATCGCTGTTATCTCTCCATTAATAGCCATTTAATCCTTATATCCATGGGCCCCTTTCTAATCTGTCTGCTAATTCAATTCATCCAAACTACCATATAGCAAGCCACATGGACTCATGTGGATGATGTCCTCCTGATGGACAAATATAGATAGCAGCCTCTCACCCAGACATCCTGGATGGGGAGGCCTTCTAACTCTGTGATGCCCAAATTTCAATAGGAAGCAGCCAGAAATTAAATATGATGCCCAGTACCCCAAAAGGCTTCCCCCTATTTCTCTTCTCCCATAGTTATCCCACATTTGATAGATGATAGATACATAGATATAGATAGATGATTGATCTATAGATATAGATACATGTTAGAAATGCTATAATTCAGGCCAGACCTCCTCAGGTCACACCCATCTTCAACTGTGTCTCTCTCCACCCTCATAGTAGATCCTGTGTGCAGGCAGTACCCAGGCAACCAGACTCCAAGCTATAAGGTGTTATCAATGCTACATCCCGTATGATAGACACACATTAAGTAAATGGGCTCCTGCTCCTGAATTTGAAATGTTTGGACTCCTACATTTCTTCTGTGGAGAGATGATTGAAATAGGCACCGTTTTGTTTTGTTTTGTTTTTCGCAGAGTCTCACTAGGAAGCCTAAGCTGGCCTGGACTCTCCATATAACCCAAGTTAGTCTGCAACTCAAGATACTCCTCCCTCCACCTCTCGATCAGACTGTGGACATGTGTCCACGGCCTAGCTCACATACACAACTTCTAAACAGATAACCACCTGCAGTTAACCCACTGCTCTGGCTCCATTGGGGAGGTCTCAGTCCAGACTGTCCCACCCAAGCAAATGGTATCTTGAAGAACAGGCTTCATGTGTCCTGACTATCCTTTGTGTCCACATACAGGATCCATCCATTAAGTCATCCTGCCTTGACGACCCTTTACCTGATGCCCAATTCACAAATAAGCCCTGTTGTGTTCAGCCAGGGTTCCTCCCCAAGAGCATGAGTGCACTCATTACTGGGAGGAACGTGAGTAGTGACTCTGATGTCGGGGGAGCCACTGCCCCATGAAGTACTAAAATTCCCGAGTGAATGCTGACTCACTGAGAAGCAAGGTTCTAGAATTCTCCTCTCCTCCCTTTCCCATGCTGCTCTGAGACCTAATTCTTCTTGTCCTTGAAGACACCGAATAAAGAAAGCAGAACATGTAAACAACCCCTGCCAGTCTCCAAAGGTAGAAACTAAATGTGCAAGGGGTTTGCAGCACCCCCGTTTCTCCTCAGGCTTCCCAGGAAAGCTGAGCGCTTAAAGGGAGCAGGAGGGAGGGCCTCTGGGTGTTTCTCAAAGCCTCCATTATTAACAAGAGCAGGAATGTGAAAGTAGCTTGTTTCTCTTCTCAGCAAGGAGGAGAAAGAGAAAGTCACTATCACCACTAGGGGATCACATTACTGGTCAGTGAAGAGGTCACTGAGAGAGGAGGAGGGAAGCCACTGGGGCCTGAAACTTCTGGGCAACACTGAACCTGTGGTATGCAAAACTTGTGCCCAGGGTCCCGGAAAAGGGCTCAGGCCAGTGCAGTCCCTGTGTGAGACGGCCTGGTTCCCTCTCTGCACAGCCTGTCTCCCTCCACTGAGGAAGTGACAGGCTCCGCTCTGTTCCCCATCCCTGCTCCCCTTTACGGAGCTTTGCAGTGAGAACTTGCCAGTAGGTACAGGCCAGCAGCAGAGGGAATTGCACACCTGCTCTAACCCTCCAATAGCAACATGGCTACTCCTCCCTTCCCCCCCCCCCCCCCCCCCCCCCCCCCCCCCCCCCCCCCCCCGCACCAGCATTTTTACTAGGAAACTCTTCTTCTTTCCTTCCTGAGAACATCACATTGGATCTGGGCTTCCACACTATGGTCAAAGTATCCCTGATCCCTCTCAAAGTCTGTCTGTAAACTGATTCCTGGATCTTATGAAACTGACTTGTCCTCCTCCGCAGTTCCATGCCTCCCACTGAGACTGCGGGGTCCGGAGTCCGATTCTCGCTCTCGCTCTCGCTCTCTCTCCCCTCTCGCTCGCTCTCTCGCTCTCATTTTCTCCTTTATGAAGATAGCAAGGTGAGGGAAAGTAAGGGAAACAATCACATAGAACAAGTTCACAGTGAGTGTCTGCAAGCACCTGGGCCAGGTCGTACCAGGTTTGAAGGTTGACATTGCCCAGGGCCATCATCTGAGCTGGCGGTAACAAATAGCAGCGGGATCAGACACAGGAAGTCCTGGCCCTGGGCTAGCTGTCATTTTCCAGACTTAACAAGCCCTGCAGTTGGGCTCAGACCAGCAGAGCAGGGCTCCACCACCTCTCTAAAAACGTGTATCCTGTCTAACTGAATCCTGTAAACCAACCATTTCCAGGAATAGAAACTGAAACCTGCTCTCACATGAGTCCCCTCCCTCTAGGGGCTGCAGCAGGCAGGGCGCAGATCTAGAAACTGCTGAGCAGAAAGCAAAGTCTGCTTATGGAGCAGGAGCCAGGAGGAAACCTAGAAAATCAGACTGTCTTTCCCAGCTCCTCCAGCTCCTTCCTTCTCGAGTCATCTCTGAGGACAACCCCAAACCTCCACACTTCATCTCTAAATATCCTGGGTTTTGATTCCAGTTGTGTATCTTTCCATAGAGAAATTCCCTTGCTTGAAGACGGCAATCTTTCCCCAGGAAGGAGGTGACATCACAGGAGGGCCTCTGGCATTAGGTAAGTGATAGGCTCCTAAGTGAAGCTTGGTCAATAACCCTACTTATTTATGATGGAAAATTGGACCCCTGACACCAGGGGAGGGGAGCTTGAAGTCTGTGTTCACAGCAGGACCCCTCTCTGATGTCTTCAGTACCACAGAGCACTCCAACATTTTTGCTTCTTAAACCATTGAGCCACCAGCATAGAGGCAGCGTGTATCTCTCTCACCCGAATACTCCTGGCCTTGTAGGTTTTCTACTGACAGTGGTCTGAATTTGGAGAAAGAAGACAGGGTGTGCCACCCATTTTCTCTTGGAGTCCAAGCTAGCACCTTTTCATTTTCCCCGTAACAATAAATTCTCAAGATGAGAACCAACCACAGGCAATAACTAGAATACCTGGGAAATAGGAACAACTAATCTGTTTCTTACCTGGATCATGCATGGGATAGGAATCTCAGGACGGTTTTTGAGTATAGAGGTATCTTAATGACCCTTTCGTCTGACTCAATTCAAATGTTTTATTTGCACTGGAGAAATTGACTCTGTTTAGGGCACCAACACAACCTTCTATGAATTACTTTAAAGAGGTGGGTGCTTTTCAAACACCATCTTCCTAGAGCATGCCAGGTTCAGAACTGTCCACATCCAACATGGAGAGGTTTTTCATACTTTCTTGGTAATTAGAGTAGAATATAATAAAATTAAGCCTGAAAGTTTGATAAACTGCAGTGGAATAAAGTAGAGCCAAGGTGAGCCATACGGTGCAACCTTCCGTGCATGCGTGGGTGTGCGTGTGCAGTGTGATCTTAGTTCTGATAAGAAATGGTACTCCTTCCTGTACATGTCCAGAAGGAGAGTCCAAAGAAACTGCTCATAAGGCCTGGTTCTCCTTTCCAGACCTGGCTGCCCCTATCTAGTTGAATCTACTTGTTAGGCAGCCAGAAGGACCCACCACCACCACCACCATCCTTCCTTAAGAAACTTCAACCCTGCATAGAGGATGTAAGTTAGTGGTATGATCTGGCTGTGGTCCTTAAAGAGAGAGTAAGAGGGCCACTTGCATCCCAGGCAAAATTCTGATGGGCTGTCTGCAAATATTGGGTGAGTGTTCTGAGTCACAATGCTCTGAGGCTGTCACCAATATCCCAGAAGGCTCCTGGAGGAACCTACAGCCTTATACAGTTACCCATGAACTTTCCGGGACTGGCTGTAACACATGAACTTTCCATGGTCTAGCTGTAACAGGACACAATCCCAGAAGCCCCCAGTACTTGAGACTTAGTGGGTTTTGTTTGCAGTGGTGGCGTGCACTAAAACAGAATGAGTGGGCAGGTGGGGGGAACTGAAAGTCTGGAATTAGCGTTGGGAATCATGGGCACCATCTCCCACAGGGACCAGTACAGGATGGGCAGGCAAGTCGGAAGTCCCTATCTCCAGTCACAGTCACATAAATAGTTCTAAGAAGTGTACGGTTTGTGCTGATCTCCTACCCTAGCAAGTAGAACTTGCCATACAGAAAAGTAAAGCAAACACAGAACTTGAACCTGGCCAATGATGGGCAAGGGGAAAGAACTAAGCTTAAGGACTAGTCATCACAAAGCTTCTTTTCTCTGCTCACTCCCCCCACCCCCAGTTCAGAATTGTTCTCCCCTCCCAGACCTAATCCAGCCTCATTCTCCTAGTTTCCAGTCAACTTCTCCCCAGAATGTAACAGCCCACCATGACACATTTATACCCAGCTTGGGACACCTTGACGCTCTGAGGCAGGAGACACCATCGTGGTTGATCTCAAGTCTGTCATAGGAGCTCCTGAAAGAGAAATTGAATAGTTTCTAGAGTCACCAGCATGAAGGGCTCGGAGTCCCAACACAAACATGATATATGATAGCAATGTGTCCCATATTCTCCCTCCCACTGAACTCTGGGAATCTTTATGAATATTTGATTAGGCATTGTGCTGGATAGCTTTAGTGTCACCTTGACACACCTGGATTGAGGGAGCCTCAATTGAGGAATTTCCTCTATTGGACTGGCCTGTGGCCATGTCTGAGGGGCATCTTCTTGATGAGTGATGTGGGAGGGCCCAGCCCACTGTGGGTGGTGCCACCCCTGGACAGGTGGGCCTGTGTTGCATAAGAAAACAGGCTGAGCAGGGGCCAGGGGAGCAAGCCAGTAAGCAGCGTTCCTCCATGGCCTGTGTTCCAGCTCCTGCCTCCAGGTTCCTGCCCTGAGTTCCTACCTTGGGCTCCTGGATGAACTGTGACCCAGGATATATAAGCTAAATAAACCCTTTCCTCCCCAAGTTGGTAGTAGTCAGAGTGTTTTGTCACAGCAATGAAGAAACAAACTAAGACAGGCATCTTGCTCCCCTAAGGGGTTGAACCCTAGAACAGGTTCTGAGTAGTGGAGACATTGTGGGAATTTCTTTTACTATTGCAAATCAGTAACGAAGTGTAGATAGAAAAGGACAGAAGACACTGGTTTCCATCTGTCTTAGTTTGTTTCTTCACTGCTGTGACAAAACACTCTGACCAGTACCAACCTGGGGAGGAAAGGGTTTATTTGTCTTACATCTCCCGGGTCACAGTTCATCAGGGAGCCCAAGGTAGGAACTCAGGGCAGGAACCTGGAAGCAGGAGCTGGAGCACAGGCTA